ATTATAAGATAGGAATAAGGAAGGGTCGACTTTGACTGCAGGAACGTCACTCTGTATCGAACGTTAGTCGAGAGCAATCACAGTTTTACGTTTATGATCTTTTACGTTTACGTTTTATGTCTTTCTTTTATGTTCTTTATGTTAAATAGTTAGTAAATATTAAATAATATAATTACATCGTTACGTTTAGTGTTCACGTATTTGAATCCGTCCACACGCCTTTGAAATGAGAACATAAAACTTAAATGTAAAGTTTCATTTAAATTCATTCAGCTATTTATATTCAATCGTATTAATAATATACATATGTGTGCTCATACATGGGAATAAAAAAAAATTTCTTTTTTTTCAATAATTAAAATATGATCAGGAGGTCTTAAAACGTGTATTTCCGTAAAATAAATTTTACAAAATTTTTTTTTCATTATGGGTACTTTGCTTATGTGCGCCTACATAGGTCGGAAAGTAAAAATGCCTGGGCAGTCGAGAATCTCGGCTCGAGAATCCAAATCGTATGCCGTTGACGGGAGGTCGGATTTCAGTTGTTTAGAGCGAGAAGGCAAATGTGAGCCTTTCTCTCTCGACTCCCACGAGGCGATCCGAAATTACTTCGGGCAGCTTCGGAGAATCGAGAAAGAGGGCATGCGTCAGTTTGCCTTTGTCGACTTTCCGAAACTCCACGAGCTCACGTACGCGTATCTGGCATGTGTGCGTGTGCACCCGGCGGTGCTTTTCTGGCATCTCTGCACCCACAGTAGAGGGGCAGTGGCGGCATCGGGCGGTAAGGATTGAAAGGAAAGGAGAAGCGGGAGATAAGGTAGAGAGCGGTGGTATAAGGGATAGAGAAAAGGGTGAGGAAAAAATGGCTGGAGGGAAAGAAGGTGGAAGGGGGGAGCAAAAGGGAAAGGATAGGGAGGTAGGAGCGTGGAGGGTAGAGGAGAGGGGGAAGGGGAAGGGAGAAGGAGTGGCAGATGGTCGATTGCGGAGAGCTGGGGGAGAGAAAGGAGCCAAAATGGAGGTTCTATACTGGAGTGGACGGAGCCATGGGTGAGGAAGAGAGACGAGGAGGAAAGGCGGGAGGAACGGGGAGGGGAGGAGGAAGCCTTCATGAAGAGCAGAAAGGTGCAGTGGCCGCCGGAGGAGGGAAGGGTGAGCGAGGAGGGGAAGCTAGAGAGGCTGATCAGAGAAATGAGGGAAATGAGGGAGGAGATGAAGGTACAGGGGAGGGAGACAAGGGAGGAGATAGAAAGAACTAGGGAGATGATGGAGGAATGGGAGGAGAGATGGAGAAGGGAAAGAGAGGAGATGGAGGATAAAATGGAGAGTTTAGAGAGAAAGATGGGGGAGGTGGAGTTGAAGGAAGGTAGGTTAAAGAGAGTAGAGGAGGGGATAGAGGCGATGGAGACAGGAAGGGCATGGGAGGGGCGAGGAGATAAGGCGGGTTGGGAGAGGGAGGGGGAAGAGTGGGAAATAAGGGTACAGGAGCTGGAGAGAAAATTAGAAATGAAAGAGAGGGATGAGAGAAGGAAGAACGTTATAATAAAGAGGGTAGGGAGGGAGGGAACGGCTAGGCAAAGGGCTAGAGAAATATTGGCAATTGTAGGTGTACAGGGGGGAATTGTGGGGGCAAGGGAGGTAGGAGGAAGAATGCAGGAGAGGAAGGAGGTGATGCTGGAGGTGAAGTTGGAATCAACGGAGGCAAAGAGGGAGGTGATGAGGAACAAAGGGAAGTTGAGGGGAAGGAAAGAGAGAGTGGAGGACGATATGACGTGGAGGGAGAGGAGGATGCAGTGGCAACTTAGGAGGATAGGAGAGGAGGAGGAGGTGAAGGGAAGGAGAGTAAGGGTGTTCTACGGAAAGATTATGGTGGATGGGACGATGTGGTTTTGGGACGAGCGGAGGGAAGTACTCAGAGACTGGAGGGGGTGAGAGAAAGGAGGGGTAGAGAGGGAAGTAAGGGAGGGGAGTAGGGAGGGAGGGAGGAGAATGGAGGGACAGGTAGAAAGAAGGAGTGAAGAAAGAGGGGGAGCAAAAAACTAGGAGGAAAGGAAGGAAGGAAGAAGGGGGAAGGGGGGAGGAAGAGAGGGGAAGTGGGGAGGGAGGAAAGGGGAAGGGAGAGAGAAAGATGGAAGATAGAGAGAGAGAGGAGGAAAGGGGGGAGAGAGTTTAGGAAGGAGGGAGGTAGGAAAGGAGGAAGGAGTGAAAGAAGGAATGGAATGAAAGTATGGAAATGGAAGTCAAAGACGGAGGAGGCGTGCGTGGAAATACGGAGGCGTAGATGTAAGGATAGGAAATAGAAAAAGAAGCGAGGCAAAGCGAGACGAAGCGAGCGTACAAAGCGCGTAGGTTAAGGTTAGGTTAAGAGTAGGTTAAGCGGAGGGAAGGAGAGGGGAGGAAAGCGAAAGAAGGAGGAGGGGTGGAGGGTAGAAATTAAGTTAGTTTAAGGAAGAATTGTGAGGGAAAGGAGGAGAGACTATGTAACCCTAAGGGGAAACAATAAATCCATACTACTACTAGTCAATAATGAAGTAGATCAACTGGTTTATTAAAAAATATATAATATTTAATAATAAAAAATTATTTATGCATTAATTTCAAAATTTATTAAATCTAATAATAAGTCCACCCAAAATTATACATTATTTATTTTAAAAAATTTATTGTATCTGCCACAGTTTCCAAGAAAAAACCGCGTGATTTAGTAACGCGGCCACCTTGCATTATAAAATAGGGTGGTACGACTAGTCGGGCAAAAACGGGCAGCTAATTCTTGCAAATTCTACAAGGTCAAAGTATCACATACAAGCCTGAAAAAAATTGAGCCGTGATGTTGTGGAATATGCAACTTTTTGCTTACTTGTTTGCGATGTATGCATGAAATTTTACATTTTATTTTCAGTAATGAATGTACCGGTTTACAAACTTACTGGATAACAATTTTTAATATGTTAGTACTCAGAAATGTTCTACTTACTTCCAGGAACAGCATCCATTTTGCAGAATTGAAATTAATGCCTTCTAAAAACGCTTGTGCACTTTTCACTTTACGGTATGAACTGACGCTTACGTTCTCGTCAAACGACTGACTAACGAAGCCGAAGTTTGGATCGCAATTGTCATCTAGATATAAAAATATGACTCATTTCATTTCCCCTACCCTAAAGAGACATCCTTAAACTGACGATTCCAATAGGTAAAACCTACATAGCGAAAAATTATTTTTTGGGGTTTTGACCACGATTTCACAATTTGGGACCACTGTGGGGCGTTCCAAAAAAATTTCAAAGTTGAAAGATAAGGTCCACCCTACTATACATGTACTGTGTCGATGTGAAATTGTAGCAACATCAGAACGAGATATCGTCGTCGAACCTTATCATAATTCGTTAGTCATTCTTTAGCAAATCACATGTGTTTCCTTTTTTTACTTCTTCATGAAATTATTAGACCCCCTTTTGGGAATTTTCAGCACTTGTATTTATGGTATGATTACTAATACACCTCTGTTTTTAAAAAAGCAGACTACAAAACGTCACTGTGAACGTCCTGGGCCCTCAGCCCATCAACTTTCTTCGTAGAGCAGGCAGGACAATTAATAACTTGTTCTCATAGTTTCCATCGAGCAATTATACTTCATTCAAAAATAAGCAATGAACAATCAGACTGATATTTAAAAATGCGTTTATTACAAAAAAGAATCATTTACAGAGAGTGAGTTAATAGATTTGGTGTAGAATGGCACTTACATTTGAAAGTTAGATACTGAAGCCGTAACAAACATTCATATTGTTTAAAGAAAGAAAAAGAGAGGGAGAAAACTGCTTGATTTAAAGAGAAGGAGAAATAATAGTAAGCCAATATACGATTTTCTGCTCCAATCCACCCATAATTGTCAAAGATAAGGGACTTGAGATCTAACTTTTCATAATATCTGTTTACTGTAAAAATATAAAAGTGGTTCTACAACTGCTTCAATACGCAATTAACACTCAGCATTTTTTATTTTCTATAACCTGGTTTTTCAATTTAAGAATCTGAAAAAATTTTGTCACATTTTTGCAGTCAGTAGAGTAAACATGATTTTCTTTATCACTTCTTTACTACCTCCACAGTGAAGATTTTGGGATAAGAATTGGTACAAAGTGTTTTCTTTCGATGAGCTGTCAAATGATCCATTGCACATTCAATTTGGTTTCAGAGTACCTTTGACTGCCTTATACGGCTATACTATTAGTTTCCAATTCACAAAATTATCTGTCTACTGCGTTCAGGAATAATGTGTAGCTGTCTTTTTGATTTATTTTTTCCATATATTTCAAGGTCTTTTAAATAAATTTGTATATCATATTATGATTCCGCTTTAGTATTTTGCAATTTGCACAATTTTAAACGTTTTCAATGATCCATTACAATTCGTGATACTGCACTCGTTTCTTATTTTATAAATACTGTCAAAAAGTTTGAGACCTTTTTGATTTTTCTAATACGCATTTATTTATAAATTTTTTTCTAAATATTTTACATAAATTTAACATAGAAAAGTTAAATGAAACCTTATTCATAGCATACTTAAACCATATTGCAATTAATATATCAATCAAAATGTTGTTTTAATTAAAAACAATTATTTTCGACTCAAATAAAAATTAAGTGTTAAATCAGAAAATATTATGATTTAAGCACTTTTTAGAGATTAAATATATTATATACTAAACAAATAAATATACAATAACAAAAGCATGACACATACAAACACACTAAACTAAAAAGCTATAAAACTAGCAACAATATTAAATCTTAATATTTTTCATGCTTTTAAATGATAATTATAATTATGATACATGATAGACTTCACTCAACCACACAAATTTATTGTCATACTCTAGTATGTACCATAACTATAATTATGACTTGAAAATGAATAGAGTGTTAGAATCTGATACTATTACATACTTGGTCATCACAAATTCTATGATTTGTATTGTACATTTGTTGTGCTGTAAAGGTATCAGTTATTCAGTAGACCCACTTTGTTATAAAATAATACTCTATAAATAACTTCTTCCGTGTTTATTCATTGTGTGATCATTGTTTCTTTAAAACTAGCAAACATTTTTTTACACGTGATCTCAAATAGTGTACTCCTTTCTTCATTATTCCTTGACCATATATGCAGTTTTATTTGACAATTCAATTAATTCTTGTTGGCTCAGTAGTATTTATTACTAGATTCCAATTCCAAAGATATTGAAATAGGTTTGATTTATAATATTGTCATTCACCTCATCTAGGATTTTATGGAAAATATGTTTATTAATATGAATTAATATAAACGACATACGAACGAAATGATAATAAATATCTAAATAAAATTATACTTATATTAATTTTTTTTTTGTAGTTTGAAATTCCCAGCCTTAAAGATTTGTATTGTTGCTTTAGTTCCTCAAATATCCCCATTAAAAAATTCTATGATTACAAGCCTGGTGACTTAATAAAATACATTATCTACAAAAGCACATTTATAAACATACTAGAAATGAAATAAAAAATGCTTTTAAAATTACAGTAAATTTTGTATTATATTTCATCAACTATTTAAAATACAAAAATATTTTTCAAGTAAGCTTCTACTTACTTTCTTATCTTTCTTTACTACTTCTTATGTTAGAATAATACAAGAACATAAAGTAAAATAGGGATTATTATGAATACCATTTTGTTGTAAAGCATATATGATGACTTATAATTTATTTTGTTCTGTTTGTACATTAATACAGAATGACATGTAAAACTATGAATACTTTACCAAAATATTTATATGGATACATACAGGATTATAGACATCAAGATTAGACAAAATGAAATTCAACAGCATTGCAATAAAGTTTCAGTTTAAGAGCAGCCAGGGTATGGATCTTCTCTGTTTACTCTTAAGATAAATTTAATTTTTCTATTCATATCCTCGTCATAAATAGCTTTGCACTTTTCATAATTTATCCTCCGTCTTGCTTGCGAGGGTCTCTCAAAATACCTAGTACGTCTAAATTGTTCGAAAATTTTCTCCTTTCCTAATATACTATTTAAGTGTTTGCAAGCTTTTTCTACATTATTGTTTTGAACCATAACAGTTCTAGCAATAAATTGAGCATGTCGTCCAATACCCATCTGAAACAATATTTCCACAATAAGCTGTTTCTTATTTTTCTGTAGTTTATTTCTTCTGTTACCATAATTCCAAATAAAATTCATTTTTATTTTTTATCCATATCTTTCTGTTTCAGCACTGCGTTTGTATATAATATATTGAATTTTGAAATCTATATTAAATTACTAAAAATTTTTCGCCGGTAAATCAGTTGAACATTTAATTGGGAAATTATGATTATTACAAATTTTTCACCAGTAAATAAGTTGAACAGTGATTTTAATTTGACTCATGTTGTGACACATATTATTTTAACTTTTAAATTGACTATATCTAAATAATAATACATTTATAGGTTAGATATTTCTCGAAAACATGTTACTACATTCACACGTTAAAAATAAGTTTACAATCTCAACATTTAATTAAATGTGTATATTATTAATTTCAAAGATTAAGTAGAATACCTTGTATTCTAATTAAATAGATACACTTCTGGAAACAAACTTCAATAAATGGAAGAATGATATAACCATTTACCGTAGCAGACCGATTTCCAACAAATAAGTTTTTCAATGATACGAATCGATTAATATCGAAACGCGGTTCATTTGAATATTTCAATCATTACTATTTTATTTCAATGATTTCCTGAAATTCTTCTATACGAAGAAACAAAAAGGTTATCTAAAATAAATTTAATACAAATAAATTCAAAGTACAACGGTACAAAATTGTAACTTAATTCTAGATGATAAATATAATACAAAAATTATTTTGCACATATTTATTTTTCTATACTGGAATATACAGGGTGTTCGGTCACCCTTGGGAAAAATTTTAATCAGAGATTCTAGAGGCCAAACTAAGAGGAAAATCAAGAATACCAATTTGTTGATTGAAGTGTCGTTAAAAAGTTATTAACAAAAATAATTAATAAAATTTGTCCACCTACACGAATTTTTTCTCGAAAGTGAGTAGGATTTCGGGGGTATGTCTATTGATAAAAAACAATTGTAATTGACCCTTGCAACCAAAAATAATTTTTTTAGAATGATTTGAAATTTTTTACTTTTGCCGAATTTGTCCACTTCACTGAATTTTTTTCTCGAAAGTAAGTAGGATTTCGGGGGTTTGTCTATGATAAAAAATGATTGTAATTAACCCTTGCAACTAAAAATAATTTTTTCCGAATGATTTGAAAGTTTTTAATTTCGTCGAAAAATTTCTCCACTTACTGAATTTTTTCTCGAAAGTGGTTAAGATTTCGGGTGTATGTGTAGTAACCAAAAATGATTGGAATTGACCCCCGCAACCGAAAATAATTTTTCCAGAATGATTTAAAATTTTTTGTTCGCCGAAAAATTTATGCACCTCTCTGAATTTTTTTTCTCGAAAATAATTAGGATTTCGGGGGTATGTCTATTGACCAAAAATGGTTGTAATCGATCCTCGTAGCCAAAAATATTTTTTCCAAAACGATTTGAAAATTTTTTCTATTTCGCCGAAAAATTTTCCAGTCGGCATGGAACTTTAAACGTTAATAAGTTTTTAACAAAGCCTCAATCAACAAATTGGTATTCTTGATTTTCGTGTTATTTCGGCCGCTAGAATCTCCTATTCAAATTTTTCCCAGAGGTGGCCGAACACCCTGTATATCGATTTATTAATGTGTTTTCTTTTTCTAAGAAAAAAATGGCTAGAAGCATATCTGTAACTATTTACCGTTATTACTTGTCACAATAGCGGTGATTAATTTTTTACTTCTCGTGGACGATCACAATAAAATTCCATATGGCCCAGAAAAAGCATGTTTAACAACGTGATAATAATGAAATATAAAATCAAACAGGTAAGGATCTAAAGACATGTGTCAGTATAAAATATTATATTACGTATTGACATGAATATTTTTAATTTGATATTCAAATTGTAACAAATCAAAACATAAAATAGAAATGAATTAATATTTGAAAAAATTACTTCTCTATCTTTTAAATTATACCGGAATCCCCATCGACATATACAAAGCCATACTGATAAGGATATCAAAAACAATATCATTGAAAACGGAGTAGCATATATGTGTATACGGAACATTTGACTTTATCGATTTTACAAACCACTATAAGTTCTTTATTTCCACCTTTTCGACTTTCCAGTAAATACCTCATTCTGTGACTGACGATATAAAATTCTTTAAATTGTAAATTACATTTAAATTCGCATTTATCACTTACCTTTCGATTTAATAATGTAATCAATATTTATATTACGGTTATACGACACATATTTCCTCATATACAAATAGCATAAATTCATATTTCGTCAACAATTTTCATTTCCGAGCATTACAACCGATTTTATATTTTAATTTCCGTTAATATTTTTTTAAGTAATGATTTTATATTTATTTAATATACGCTTATTGAAGAGATCAAAATTTTGTTAGACTATTAACCTGGAATTTAGAATAGAGAACAATCGATTTTTATATCCCTTCACTGTCATTTGTAAATGTTAAACAAATCAATGGAGGCTGAACAGTGTATTTATAATATATAATGTGGTTTTAAAGATTGGAAATAAACTTATTACTTACACAAAAAATAAATATTCTTTACGAAAAGACAGGTAAACATACATACATATATAGTGTAATAATATAGAATTATTTAAATTTCATAATCATAGTACAGTTTTATTTCTTTTTATGTCGTTTAATGTTCATATCTCCTTTACTTTTAAAATCTGTTCATAAGATTTCAATTTCCCTTTCTTCATAGAATGCCATTTATACAAAAAGAAACTTATTGATTAATGTGATTAATTAATACACTATTTGTCCTTGTCAATAAATAACACATCGCAAAGTACTTATTTCATCAATTTATACATGGAACATGTTTTTATTAATTAAAATTGTTCAATCGATATTTATAGAAACATAGATAAGTTCAGAAAAATTTATCTGACAGCCATTTACGAATCGATAAAATGAAAATACTTGTTCTAATAGTTACAAATGCGGAGTTTATATGTACATACATAAAATAAACACTTCATCGCGCACATTGTACAAGATGGACATTTCTGCCCTCTATACTTTGTATACACTGTTTGATCGATACTTGGCGTTGAACAGAAGACGAGCTTCAGTCATATCTATTAAATACAAGAGGAACCGACATAAATTGTAAGCTATTTCTTACGATTGGATGAAATATGGTATTCTAAGGCCTGATCATTTTTATAATTGCAGATAAATAAAAAGCCATGCCGCCGAAACGGAAGAGGGCTGCTAAGAAAATATCCATTGATCCAATACCAGCGTAAGTTTCAACTCGTTACGTATGTATTTAATAATATCGTTTTCTTACGCATACTATAACGGAATTTTTACTGATAATTGACAAAATAAACTCTACATCCAAGATATTATTATTCTATTATTATGAATTTCTTTATATTTCAAAATTCTAAACTTATTAGATGGGTGGACGCGTAGAGTATACATACAGGGCCACCTCTGGGAAAAATTTACATGAGCGATTCTAGCGGCCAAAATAAGACGAAAATCAGGGATACCAATTAGTTGATGGAGGCTTCGTTACAAAGTTATAAACATTTAAAGTTCCGCCTGTAGAATGACAATCCGCGTATAGCTGTGTTCGCGCGGAATGTTGCGGCAGCCTAGTGCTAGTGGTTCTCACGCAGAATGAAAAATTCTACTTACCGTCGTTATCGACAGCCATAGATTTTTGTCCACTTATGGAAATGCGAACACCTTACGTTGAATAAGATTCAAAACTGTGTTATGAAAATCTAGAAGGGCATAGTAAAACTCGACCGACGAGATTTTCACAAAGAAAGTGTGAATGCCAGTTCCAATACACAACGTTGTGAACAAAAATCACCCACACGCGATCATACACGCCCCACGATTGTCTACAATGCCCATAAGTGTCCACAAATAATCCTTTCAGGCACTAACCACTATGCAATTAAATAAGCACGTACCGCAATTATGTTATTCGTGAGTGCCTATGTGTACGTGCACCATGATTCTTCTGAGTTACTTACGAATAAAACTGTTATTAATTTCAAAATACACTTCAATTTAAAAATGTAAAAAGGAATCGCAGGATAAATGAAATTTTCGTATCGATTTACGTTCACGTCGAAGAATGTAATTATACTAGCAGCTGACTGTGCTATCGATCGACGAGGTTCAAAGAAACAAATGCCGTACAGGACCCCGATTCTATGTCACTCGCCTCGCTTCTCTCTCTAACACACACACACACACACACACAGACACATATGCACTCACACTCAGCGGAGACAAAGGGCAGCATCGGCACGTGTTCGGCCAGCTAATCAGTCGTAAAAAAGTATCGGTCAAGCTAGTTGACGCGACACATTTTAGACATATTTGATTCAGTTATGTATTAAGTAGCATGTAAGAAATACAGTGATATAAACAATCAGCGAATACTTATTAAATTCCTTTTTACATTTTTAAATTAAAGTGTATTTGAAAAATTAATAACAGTTCTATTTGTAAGTAACTTGGGAGAATCGTGGTGCACGTACACATAGCCACTTAGGAATAACATAATCGCGGTGCGTGCTTATTTAATTGCATAGTGGTTAGTGCCCAAAATGATTATTTGTGGACACTTGCGGACACTGTAGAAAATCGTGGGGCATGTATGATCGCGTGTGGTTGATTTTTGTTCACAACATTGTGTATTGGAACTGGCATTCTCCCTTTCTCTGTGAAAATCTCGTTGAGCGAGTTTTGATATGCCCTTCTGGATTTTCATAAGACAGGTTGAATCTTATTCAATGTAAGGTGTTCGCATTTCCATAAGTGGACAAAAATCTAAGGCTGTTGATAATGTCGTTAAGTAGAATTTTTCATGCTGCGTGAGAACCACCAGCACTAGCCTGCCGTAACCTTCCGCGCGAACGCAGCTTTATGCGGATTGCTATTCTACAGGCGGAACTTTAACTTTAATAACTTTGTAACGAAGCCTCCATCAACTGATTGGTATTCTTGATTTTCGTCTTATTTTGGCCTCTAGAATCCCTCATGTAAATTCTTCCCAGAGGCGGCCGAACACCCATAGTCAAGTTTATTTTCTTAAATGAAATCGCATATTTTTTTATGTATCAATCGATGTAGCTCGTTATTTTCCATATGAAAGTATTAAGCTACTTATTATGAAAAATTATTGATTTAAAAAATATTTCAATTTTAGTGTTGGATAATAACAGTAGTATTTTATTCTTATATTATGACTTACCTCACTAAAGTTGACATTCAAAAATATACCCTTCAGCTTGGATGCAATGATTTACTCTATTTTTAAAGCATTTGCCAACATTTCCTAGCACTTCCGCTGAAATTTCGTGGCATGCGTGCAAAATCTTTTCTTTTAAATTATTCGGAGTTGTGCAAATGTCTGCATAAGCCATATTTTCTAAGAAACCCCACAAGAAGAAATTTAAAGATGTCAGATCTCGTGATCTTGGCGGAAATTCAATAGGTCCACCTCGGTCAATCTAACGGATGGAACAATTTTATTTAACTTACAATTAGCTCAAACCCTACGATAATAATGAATAACCACATTCGTCGTCTCGTTGCTAATTCTACGTGATACAAGAATTCCCAAAGTGTTGGGGATTGTAGGGATTGTAAGATCTTCAAGCCTTTGGAGAGCTTGCACGTCAAGTGCCGACTTACTCGAAGGACCAGCGTGCACGTTGTGTGCTGTCAAAGTTCAAATGATGAAACCAGAGTTGTTTAAAATGTGTTTATTTCTGTTGCGGTGCATGCAGAGTGCTGCCAATGATGCGTTGATGCGTTGCACGAATGTGTGTTGCCAAAACTGTCAGGATGCGTTGCACGTGATGTGCTACCGATGTTCCAGATATGTGTCACCAAAAATTACAAATGTGGTTCCTTAACGAAAGAAGAAAATTTCTCTTTTCTGATTAGTACACTGTTACTTCTCCATTTCATTAGCGACTGGTGTTCATGGCTTTAGGGCTCCATTGTCTTAACGACACTAGTCAAATGGCTTTACGATATAGCAGTTCGCATTATAAGCTAAACAATTTCGTTTTGCAATTTTTACTGCCATCGGAAAATGCTCCCTTTCGTCATCTGCTAATTGCTGTATGCAACGAATTACAAGAAATGGGGCTGCAGCTAATCTGAACGTGCCCCCCCCAGAAAATCCTTTGAAATCTATGATCCTCCCTGCGTACAAGAATTTGGCGGTACATTTTTTCGATGTCTTCAATCAAAACGTAGTTATACAAACGAAATCTAATGATTAACGCGAATATGTCGTTCTGGAGGCACGGTCCAGCCATTAACGTATCGTTTAAAGATATGTCTGTACTAGATTTGGCTGAGCTGTCGAAAACTACTCGTACCTTTGTCGTTTGACTTCCCTTCTTAAAAACCGCGTGGTGTGGTAAATAGAAACCTGGCTGTTCGATGTCTTCGGCTACGGATAGATGACTCAAATCAAGGTATTCCTTAATTATGGCCGAATATTGTTCTCGCAATCTTGAGTCGGCATTCAATTTCTTCTCCAAAGAGTAAAATTTCTTTAATGCGCTGGAGCGCGAATTGCCTAATTGCTCATGATTTTCCTTGAAGGGTAAGGCGTCTACGAATCTGCCGTTTGACAACCTGTGCGTGTTGTCGGCAAAATGCTCTTCTACTGCAGTTTCCTTGGGGAAAAGATGTAGTTTGTTTGGGCTTTCCTCCAGCCTCCAGAATCTGTCCATATCTAGTTGAAGGGCAGTCGTGTGACATGTTCCTGTCTTACCTGGAATTCCTTTTGGTTGTTTTGTCATGACGCTTCCTCCGATAATCCAACCCAGTTGGGTTTTTTGGAGGATGAGTTCGGTTTCTGGCGATGATTCAAGTTTTATTTGTCCAATGCTAAGGATCGACAAAGTGGGACCCAGACCTAATAACATTTGGACTGGTGCTGGTTGGTTGAATGAGGGATCGGTTAGTTTGATGTTTGATGGTATGTTTGTGTAGTCGTGCTTGATTGCTTCGAGTGGTATGAAATTTGATATTGTGGGAAGGATTAAGAAATTGAGTGTTTTCTCGAATGTCGTTTGGTTTAATTTGATTGTTGCTTTTGTCGTGTGATTGTATGTTGTCGATAAGGAGTTCAGTGCTCTTATTGGGACTCGAAGGACTACAAAATGTCTGAATTCGTGGACTGTATAAATTGAAAATGCTGATTAGATGGAAGGTTCGCGAAAAATGAATATGGTGCAAAACTTTTGAACAAGGTTTAAGTCAATTTGTTAACAAAGCAGCGTATACAGTGAGAGTCAATTATCACTGGGAGATGATTATGAATTTCTTAAGGAAATGACGATATTATCGATCGCCATTTCCAGCAGAGATTAAGATGTGAGAAATGACTGTTATTATTAATCGCCATTTCCAGCACAGATTGAGATGTGAGAAATGACCGTTATTATATCTTAATTCAAATACATAATGCCCTTGCAATTGTATTAATTGCAAGCGACTTATGATTTGTGCCTTATTTAAAAGATTGTGAGAAAATTACTTAAGACACGAAAAGATGTAACAAAGCACAAAGAACAAAGGAACTCAAGACTTGATCACAGGAACACACTTTCTACCAAGGTGGTCAGAACAAGACTATGCTAATAGCTGCGTTCTGAGCCGCCACGAGATTTCAACCGGCACGCAGAAAGATCGATGCGTGCACATGTCAATCATGTGCAAATGTCCAAAATCGGTTTTGACGCATAACTAGCGATTCTCCCGAGCACAAAGCGTGCCCGAGAGGTGCTACAAATGAGACCTGTGGCGGCCAAGAAGTAAGCTAATTCTTGAACAGGTATCGTTAGATGCCCATTGCCTGATGTGAAATCCGCCGCATTGGAGCAATTGAATGATGTCGTCTCGCAGTTGTATTACTTCGTCGCGTCTCTGGGTATCGATGATCAAGTCGTCGACATAAGAATTTCTGTTGGGGCTTGTGATGATCGTAAGATCTTCAAGCTTTTGGAGAGATTGCACGTCAAGTGTCGACTTACTCGAAGGACCAGCGTCCATGTTGTGTGCTACCAAAGTTCAAATGATGAAACCAGAGTTGTTTAAAATGTGTTTATTTCTGTTGCGATGCACGCAGAGTAAAATTTCTCTTTTCTGATTGGTGCACTGTTACTTCCATTTTATTTTATTTTACACTGAAAAAACCCTGACCTAACGGTGGTGTCAGGCCGCACGGTGACTCATTTCATTAACGACTGGTGTTAATAGCTTTAGGGCCCTATTGCCTTAAGGGGCCATACTACCTTATAGGCACGAAAAATACATGTTTCTTTGTGATTTTTTTTTGCTGGCTATTAAAGAGCGATTAATTCAGTGTTTTGTAGATACATTTATTATATATTTAGCTATATTTACGAATTTTTGCAACGCATAATATCTATTGATTACGCTGTTTTTGTTGATCAACAAACAACAGTTTTTACGAACGGCGACCGACTGCGTATGTGATATCGTGCGAATAAGTCATCCGAAATCCAAAAACCAACGATATTCTTAATATAGATGAGTGTGGTTATAGCATGAACTAGGATTTTTTCAAAAAAACAAAAAATGGCAAAATGGCAGCTATTTTACGAAAAAATACTGAATATTTTCATATATTCGATTAAGGTGTTCGATAGGTACCTTCGATTAAGTATCGATTAAGTACCTTGTACTTGATACTTGTATTTAATATAAAGTTAATATTAAACTATATATTAAACTATAGACCAAATTTGAATCGTTTTCTGTTTTTACTCGGTCAGCTTACTCCGTAGACACATGTAAATGTAGAACACAAAATGTAGAACATTGTTAGGCAATAAATTTGAACTACTCGATTGCACACAATAATTACATATTCAGACTAATAAAATAAATACATCAATCATTGCAACTAGAAAGTTAATTCCGAGAAATAAATACAATCAGAATGCTTGCTTGAGGGTGCATTTCTGAATGCCTTTCTGTGTACGTCACCTTTTTTCATTTTCTACCTGCATATGTGTATATTATGAGCAAGTAAATTAAGATATTAAAGACTTGGCTAAGACCTTTACCTGTAACGGTACCTCTAAAAATGGCGACACTGGATAAAACATTTCTTCATACGGCCCTAACTATTGTCTTATCTGCTCGTATTTCTGTCAATTCGCTAGTCCCGGTAGTTTTTCAGCTAAAGATGTTTCCATCTTTATTTTGACGTCTACCCGACTTTACGAGCTCGCTATATCGTGACCCGGACTATACAATTATTTTAGTGTACAGCTGGTCTGAGGAATTCTACCTCGTTGACGCTTTACGCTCCCACTCTTTAGTTGGTCTATCCTCCAACCAGATCTGGGAAACCTCTTAACCGTTAGTAATCTAATATTCTCTCTCTTTACTTACTCTCACTCTTTGCCACTACACTCACTTTTTTTTTTGTACGTGGGAAAATCCTCATGGACACCCGCGGGTCCGCCCGAAGGGAGGGCCAACGGGTAATGCCGGACTCTTACCGGCTAAAATCTCACGGTGACCATCCTCAGGCGCCTGGCGGGGGACCAGGAACTCTAGTGAGCCATCACAGAGTTCGCGCCGTGTCTTTTCAGGCCACTTCCGGCATTCCCTCTCAACCGCAGGCGCCTGGTCCATTAAATTTTGAAATATAGTTTTCCGTATCTCAATTTGTATTTGCATTTGTCTCCTTATTTACATTATTATGTAATAATATTTATAATATTTCATTAATAATATCTTATTAATATTGAGGATCAGTACTTTTTGTTCAAAAAAGTAGCTTCTTTCCTACTATTTAGGGATCTGACCATTCTGTTTCAGCTCTGGTGCAACTGTTTATACATATTTCCTGCCAGTTTTCGTTGAACCGGGCATAGCATCGAAGCTATCCTCCAGTTGTATCTTTGCAGCCTGTGGTCATATCCATGCATCGATTATAGATTAAGAATTGATTTTAATTTTAATTATAAAAAAATATATACCGACACCAAGTTTCGAATGAGAATATTGTGGCCATATTACTCTATTGACCAGTAGTGGTATATCAACTAATATGATCGTTGTTGTTAATCTCAGCAAAGAATGAATTATTAATGACATACGATATTTAGATTTAATGTTTTTTAACCCGTAACAGTTGCTAGCTTTTCATACGACCGCAGCGACCAAATTCTGTTGTCAGATCAGAGGTGACTTGCAACCGTTAAGGGTTAAAGCAAACAAGCTGCTTTCACATTTGTGCGTGAAATCGTAAATTGAACAAATCTTTAATGCTAAATCCACAAATTTCGGATGCTTATCGACGGGTAATAGCTTAAAAAATTCGAATCCATGTTCGTTTTTGTTCAATAGAAATGTATCAACTTGCATTTTATACAGTTCCAGTATAGAATTTCTTGGTCTTCGACAATACATTCTTTGGGGTTGTTGAAGATCAATATATCACTTTCTAATGAGTTGGTCTTTAAATCTTTTTCTGAATTGTTTATCCGAATCTTCTATCACTGACACATATTTCACAAAATTTACATCTGGATATGAATTTTTAATTTCCTTGTAGGGTGGAAAATGATATAATTAATGATATAATTTTTGCTTTTCTAGTTCTGCAATCGATAGTTTTAACTGATTTTGGAAACCATTTGTGTGAGTTATTAAATCACATATTGTTTGTTATTGTTTTTGTAACTTAGTGTGTTTGAATTTTTTTTGAATATCCTTCATTTTTTTAATTCTGATATTACATTTCTTAATGCAAAGAAACGCCACAAGCTTTTTCCAATATTCAACCAGCATACGTCAGTGTGCAATGCCAAGTAATCCTCATATGAAGCATTTACGTGTTGTAAAAAATTGTTTAATTTTCTATGGGACAATGTTTTGTTTCCTCTTCTTACCATGTTGGTGACCTTCGTGACAATCTTTATCATCGTAGTAAGTGTTTCAATCTTCCCGAACAATGTCTCTTCGTGTCTTACACAGTGGAAAGTTGGGCATTTAATAGCATTTTATTACTCTACCTATACTTACTCTGCACTGTAAAGTAACTGTGTCAGGAGTCGACTGCTTAAAGTTTAAGGCGTAGCGAAAATGTGTTTTATACACCATTCAATTTATACCTAAAATATCTAAGAATATGCAGAAGCGTTCTTTGTATCAGTAGTCGCTCGGGAATGGTTTAAGTTCAGCCTTTCGCATGTCAGTAGTCAACTATTATAACTATAAGGATATTTTTGCGTTAATTTCTAAAACTAAGACCGGACGGCGGCGGTTATACGCATACGAAACAATTATTCAGAATGTCAATGAACTTGACAACATACAGTAGCTCACAAAAGTAAGTAAACAGTATGTTACGAAAAAGTATGTGTATAAAGATAAATATTTATTTTTATAAAATGAAATTAATATCTATTCATACTATACAAAGGTACTTAAATAACTAAATCAAAAAATTTAAATTATTTAAAGTTCTATTTAAAGAAAAAACAAAAAAGCAAAACATGTTATGAATGTATGCCACAAAAATAAGTAAACAAAAATTATATACAAGGATTAATATCCACAATCATGTCCATTTTGAACTGACATTCTAATACATTTATTTTACTTTCTTGTAAATATTGAGTAACAATTTTCGCTTTGTGAATGGGTGCACTATCCTGTTGAAGCAGGAAATCGTTACCTATTAATCCTTTCTAAGATAATTATTTTCCTTGCTACAAAATATGATAAGTATTCCCAACCATAATACCTTATTCCATTGATTTTAACGTTGCTTTTTCACACTCATGTGGTGCAAATTCTGCTTGTCTTCTGCAGATATACATTCGTAGATGGCTATACTTTAATCTAATCATAGATTCGTTAGTCCAAAGAATATTTTTTCAAAATGTAATAGGTTTCAAAACATGTTTATTGTAAAATTCTATTCATTTCATGAGATTTTTTTTGTTTAAATAGGGTAACTTTCGTGCAACGCGTCTATGTTTTCCTAAAACCCATAATCGACGGCGGATAGTTTCAGTGCATGGTAGAATTTTACTTTCACTTAATAATTTTCTACGTATTTTTGGAACTGATGGAAGGATCTGAATTAGAAATATTAACTATTCTCTTATCTACTCGTATAGTAGTAACCTTTGGAGGTCCAAATTTTGGTGTAACTGAAACTCGTCCAGTATTCTTATAAATAGTAACTATTATAAAAATAACTGCCGGTGTATTATTAAAAAATTTAGCAATTTCTCGATAAGTGTTTCCTTCTCTTTTCATATTAATAACAACTCTTCTCTCCTCATTTGTTAAATGTCTTTTTTCAGCCATATTTTCGGATAACCCTAAGAAATATAGCACAAATGTTAAATGTAAACCAACAAATTAAAAGGTGTACTACAATCATTAAGCAACATAACCAAAATACAACATAACACCATGAATTTATAATATAACACAAATAGTACAAAAATACACCTTAATAGCAGACTGTACAATAAAGACACAAGATGTTTACTTACTTTTGTGATCTACTGTATGTATTTCAAAGTCATTGAAATTGTTAAAATGTATCTTTTTTTTATAAAATTATCCACGTCTTTCACTTAAATACCCTTATTCAAGACATAATATATGGATTTTTATAATTTTCTGTTTTGTATCTCATTATTTGCAACACCTAATGTAATAAATGTAGTTTATTTATCAGTAGAAGCGTTTTATTAGTGTATAATTTAAAGAAAAGCTGTCTTTAATTAATTTTTTTTATATTAATAAATAATTTAATTAATCAAAATCAATCAAAACAACTTTATTTTGAATAAATTAAATTAAACTTAACAAAGATTTTTTAATAGACGAATTCTTGCTTGTATTTTGGATGTAAAAAGGAGTCTTACAAAACATTGGAAAACGCCTGGTATATACCAATAAAATATTGCTTTTACACAATTTACAACAAATAATGGTTTTTTCCTCATTTTACATGATAAAAGAATAGAACCGGATATTCCAGAAGTAATAGAACCGGAAGAACCACCAATGCCTTTGGTGTCATTGGTTACTGGAGAACCGTTCGGGCCTCAAGTTCGTCCAATTGTCGAAAAAGATGAAGACCAAAGTTCGGACGACGAGCCTGAGTCGGAGAGCGATGATGAACTCAGACACTTGAAAGACGATGCACCAGAAGTACCCTCAGAATTTTGGCATATACAAAAGCTAATTAGATACATGAAAGCGGGTAATCAAACCGCGACTATGGTGGCGGTATGCCTTCTGAAGGATTATGACCTCACCAGTAGGGTAATTCAATCATTTCTTAACAATTTTCTCCATTTATTAAGTCTTTTTGGTTTATTAGTATATTCTTTAAAATGCAGCGCAATACGAATAAATAATGTACAAAAAACTTTTGTACGAGCACATATTATTAAAAACGTTCAGTAATGTACATACATACCTAGTAGTATATGGCTCATCCATAAATTACGTAAAGTATTTAAACGAGACAGTTGGGTTCAGTGTTTTCCTACACTTTCTTATGAAGGCAGAGGGGGGCGTGGTCAAAATTCATTTTACGTAAGATTTGTAAGGTTCATAGAGAGTTTTAAGAATTCTAACAAAAAATTGTTTTTCCATTACTTTTCAATAATTACTGTTTATGCATGATAAGGTTTAAATGAATTTATGATTGGGAAAAGATAATATTCGTTTCTATAAGAATAGAAATCTTATTCTTTTTCCAATCATTAATTCAAATATTACATAAATAATTTTAAAAGATAAAAATAGTGTTTAAATATCGCGATCGTCCGAGAGGAAGAAACTCGGCCGCAATTTCCGTTTCTGTATGCATACGTGATGCTCTAGAAGGTTGGGCTGGCGCCGAAGTCTTTCGGCATACAGACAATTAAACCGCGGCCGTTTACGTGTTTTTGTTCGCTGACTTCGCACGAAGAATCGCTTCCAACACCAGTTTCCACTGGTATTGTGTCGTTAGTACCGAGAGAGAAAAACATATTGTTAATTGAATAGAGATCAACAATCAAAGGGTCTAGCCGAATAAGGAAAAAGAATTAGTAATCTCTAATTTTTTCAGATTTTTCGAAGGGATGGAACGCAGTCAAAAAAATAACAAATGATTAAAAAATGGTGGGAAAGCTTTACATTGCTTTAATTATTTACGTGACCATGTTCATATTTTTACAGCTATAGCATAACATTATGACTATTAATGTGTAATTTTTTCAGATTTTTTGGAAAAATTGTTAAAGAATTATTAATTCATATTTCCTAATTTTTCATACAGAAAAAGGCCGCACATGCTTTTAAAATAGATATAATTCAAATATATTTGTTTACATATTTTGTTAACTAGTCGCTGTATGTAGTTTCAAATACGTGTGGTACCGGACTCCTGTTGATTAGAACCGCCATGGTGCACAGTGGGCAAAATCCAGCTATAATGGACAAAATTCAGTAACTCAGTGAATTCTGCTGTAAATTTTTAGAAAATTGGTATCTCTAGGTTGTGTTGGACATAGATATCAAATTTTGAATAAAAATTATCGAATTCAAAATGGTCAATTCAATATGGCGGACGGAAAAATCAAAACTTAATGAATTTTTTTGAAAATTAATATACCTGAGTAACTGGGCATGCTGATTTTGAAAAAATGTGGACAAAAATCGATAACTCATTGAGTATTGAATGAAATTATCTTAATATTGATGGTCTAATGTGTCTATTTGGGGTCGCTTATTTCGAATATCAAATTAAAATTATAAAATTAACCATGGTGAATCTTATATGAAAGTGATTTCACATACAGGGTGTTCGGCTACCTATAGCAAAAATTTTAATGAGCGATAGTAGAGGCCAAAATAAGACGAAAATCAAGAATACTAATTTGTTGATGGAGTCTTCGCTGCAAAGTTATTAACATTTAAAGTTCCGCCTGTAGAATGACAATCCGGTAAACAGCTGCGTTCGCGTGGACGGTTGCGGCAGGCGAGTGCTAGTGGTTCTCACGCAGCATGAAAAATTCTGCTTACCGACATTATCGACAGCCTTAGATTTTTGTCCACTTATGGGAATGCGAACACCTTACGTTGAATAAGATTCAACCTGTCTTATGAAAATCCAGAAGGGCATATCAAAACTCGCACGACGAGATTTTCACAGAGCAAGGGTGAATGTCACTTTCAATACACAATGTTGTGCACAAAAATCACACAGTCACAATCATCCACAGTGTCCGGAAGTATCCACAAATAATCCTTTCAGGGACTAACCACTATGCAATTAAATAAACACGCACCGCGATTATGTTATTCGTGAGTGTCTATGTGTACGTGCACCACGATTCTCCCAAGTTACTTACAAATAGAACTGTTATTAATTTTTCAAATACACTTTAATTTAAAAATGTAAAAAGGAATTTAATAAGTATTCGCTGATTGTTTATATCACTGTATTTCTTACATGCTACTTAATACATAACTGAATCAAATATGTCTAAAATGTGTCGCGTCAACTAGCTTGACTGATACTTTTTTACGACTGATTAGCTGGCCGAACACGTGCCGATGCTGCCCTTTGTCTCCGCTGAGTGTGAGTGCATATGTGTCTGTGTGTGTGTGCGTGTGTGTGTGAGAGAGATAAGCGAGGCGAGTGACGTAGAATCGGGGCCTGTTCGGCATTTGTTTCTCTGAACCTCGTCGATCGATGGCACAGACAGCTGCTAGTATTGTTACATTCTTCGACGTGAACGGAAATCGATGCGAAAATTTCATTTATCCTATGATTCCTTTTTACATTTTTAAGATAGAGTGTATTTTAAAATTAATAACAGTTTTATTCGTAAGTAACTCGGAAGAATCATGGTGCACGTACACATAGGCACTCTCGAATAACATAATTGCGGTGCGTGCTTATTTAATTGCATAGTGGTTAGTGCCTGAAAGGATTATTTGCGGATACTTGTGGACACTGTGGACAATCGTGGTGCGTGTATAATCGCGTATGGGTGATTTTTGTTCACAACATTGTGTATTGGAACTGGCATTCACCCTTTCTCTGTGAAAGTCTCGTCGGGCGAGTTTTGATATGCCCTTCTGGATTTTCATAAGACAGTTTTGAATCTTATTCAACGTAAGGTGTTCTCATTTCCATAAGTGGAAAAAATCTAAGGCTGTCGATAATGTCGGTAAGTAGAATTTTTCATGCTGCGTGACAGCGACTAGCACTGGCCTGCCGCAACCTTCCGTGCGAACGCAGCTGTTAGCGGGTTGCCATTCTACAGGCGGGACTTTAAACGTTAATAACTTTGTAATGAAGTCTCCATTAACTAATTGGTATTCTTGATTTTCGTCTTATTTTGGTCTCTAGTATCGCTCATTAAAATTTTGACTAGGAGTGGCCGAACATCCTGTATATTGTCAATCGTTTGATAGAGTATACATATATTGACCGTAACCGGTCAAGGGGGCGATATGTTCAGGCGTGCATCCGGGCCCACGATTTTGTCCACGCGTTTTATGACTACGGCTAGCGTGCCTTCGTTACGCTCGAGTCCCCTACCGATCCATTGTTACAAAATTCCTATGAAAATCATAAACTCTAAAAGCGCAACATTCGCAGTGCTCGTGAGTTGTCATCGGCCACTTTACTATTTTTTTTGGACACGCATTGGTTTCGACACCAGGGACCTCCGGAACTTTCCCCGAACGGAAAATTCCTACGCCGTGCACTTCCCCTTAGAATTAGAAATAGTCACACCCACTACCACCGTCAACCACCAATCAATCAAAATTTGCACACCCCCATCCGCAACATTTTCCACCAATAGCAATAGAACCGAGATTATGTAAACCGCGAGTATCGTCAAAAATGTCACTTTTTCCTTTGTAAAGTCAACCTGAGCATTCAAAATAAAGAACACACCAAACCGCTGTCTAAGTGCATTATTTATAAGAAATCTGCTTCGACGACATTAATTTGCCGAACGAGCAAGCCGGGTTCGCGACTTGAGAAACTTAAAATTTCTTACAAGAAAGTCCGCGATCATATTCGATACAAACGCTAACCTTCCAAAGTGTCACGTGCACAAACAAAATCGTTAATCGCGGCCGAGTTTTTTTTCCTCGTACTAATGCGATATTTAAACAAATGTGTTAAAATATCGCTGAAGACTACAACATATCCAAAGTTAACATAATTTGAAAACTTATTTCAAAAGGTATTCTATTTCGCGTGGAATTATTCAATTGGTATGGTGTACAAAAATCACATTGTTAAAAGAATTCAATTTACAAAAGGGAAAAACTACGTGAATACGAAAATTTTTATTTCTTATACAGAAATAGAGAGGTCAATATAAGTTAATATAGTAGAACCTCTATTAACTATACTAAAAATAATTAATTAGGGGTTACAAAAGCACAGATAATCAATTTAGTATATGTTAGAGATATAAGTTGGCAGCCATTGTGAGTTGACAAGAGTGGCTGCACGCCGGTTGAGTGCCACACGGTGTGGCACACTTGCTGTCCGACCAATAACGTTATGTAGTTTAGTTTTTTTTTGTAACTTCCATCTGTGTAATTATATAACATATATTTTTGTTTTTGGCCTACGATGATTATGTTTAAATATGCCTAAACCTTATACAACAATTGGTAGCAGAGCGTGGTTAGGCTTGAGTATAATTATTTAAAAGTGAAAAGTGTTGTAGAGGTTAGGAAAGGCATATGGCGAAGAAGGAAAAAAAAAGAGATTGGAACAATGGCTGATGGAACAGGTATCTCGCTCAGTAAAATTGAGTTGTTAAATGGGAAGAATTACCATACGTGGGCGTTAAAAGTAAAATCAGTGCTAAAAGCTCGTGAACTATTTCGAGAAATAATTGAGGGTGATGAACCGCCAGAAGATGAAAACCCTGAATCCGTCGCTGGGAAACGAAGAACCACGTGGTAAAGGAAAAACGACGAGGTGTTTGAAATAATTATTATGACATTAAGTGAGGACCAGGCAGGGTTATTTTTAACAGAAGAATCAGCAAGGAGGTTGTGGGAAGAATTAAAGAGAATACATGTGGAAAGTACCATAGAGCTACACATAGATATAGGTCTAGAATTACAGAACATAAAAATGAATAATGGGGAATTGGTCAAGGATTACATAACAAGGGCTAAGAACATTGTGTCAAGAAGTGCCAGTATAGGGTATCCCATTGAAGATAGGGAAGTAACATACCACCTGGAAAGAGGACTGCATACAAAATATAAAAGAGTGGTGATAG